TTCTTCTTCCTCTTCTTCTCAGTCCACCATCTCTTCTTCCCCTCTCACCACCTGCTTCTCAGTATCAGCGGACTACTACAGAGAGAGAGTTGTGACATGAGACTTGACGACATTGGATCCAGACTCGACATTGGGATTCAGACATTTTGACGAGGGACTATTTGGTCCTGTGCTGAACACTTGGTGTTGACGACATTCCCATCTTCCCTTCTTCTTCGTCTAACCCCACCTCCTTCGTCTGTGTATGGTTGGGGCTGGCGCAGTCTTCTTGTGTGAAGCGCCAGACCCCTTCACACCATGATGATGATGATGTATGTTCGGGGCTGCATTACAATATTGATTGTTCGGATCATTGGTATCTAAGTCTTCCGCTGTGCTATCTTATACTTTGTATTGAAAGGTCGGTTCTTGTTCTGGTCTGCACCTATACGGTATGCAACAATGCCCGTCACTGGTTCACTTCTCCAGGCTTTGATGTGTTCGTTGTCTTGTTTGGTTTGAACTGAGTGTCGGTTTGGGGGGCTAGAAATTGCGTGGAATTCCACTTGCGTAATTGATTGATTGTTTTTAGGGGTTCACTTCTTTTTGTGGTTCTGTTTAATTAACCAGTCGTTCTTAGGGCTAGAAATTGGGTGGAATTACACTTGTGTAATTGATTGATTGCTTTTAGGGGGCTCACTTCTTTTTATCTTTCTGTTTAATTAACCGTGTGTTCTCTAACACCCCCTCCACTTCCGCTCCCTTTTACCCTCCCCCTTACACGTATCAGTAACTAATCCATTTGAAATGTGTTCAAATGGAAGGTAAACAAAGCAGGTCCCCATGTGACTGAAAATATCCACATGTGCATCGGACATGTCCCGAGGGTGTGAGGAAGCAGGTGAATCCATGGCTGATCTGGTCTATGCTGAATAGTGGGGGGTCAGAATGGTAGAGAAAGCAGGTTCGTCCATGACTGAGACTATCCCAATGTACATTAAATATTCCCCAAGGGTAAGAGGATGCTAGCCGTCCATTAATATTTTGGAATCTGGATCATAAAATTCCTAATAATGGCCGTCCATTATTATTCTGGCCCATCCTCTTTGTTTCTTTCCCCAAGGTCTCCTGCTGGGTTGTTGTAGCACTCCTCTGTGTTGCTTGCACCCTGTAACAAGCCGTTTGCAAGACTCTACAGAGTCTACACCTTTGCGCCTCCCCCTTCATTTCACGGCAATGCTCACAATTATTCTTAGTTTTGCTTTCTCTTATCCTTGACTGTCGTCGACTCCAACTGGCAGACTGCCTCTGCATTTCCTTGTTTGGAATGTCTCAATGATAATGCAACAATTTATCTACACGTACTCAGTTTTCCGTACACGTTGGCTTGTGCGCAGATGATGTATGGTGGCCCATTTATGAATCCAATGATGTTCGGCCCAGCAATGGCTGCTATGAACCCAGCGTTTGCTGCAGCGATGTTTCAGGCAGGAGCATTTGGAGGCCTTCCCCCATCAACGATGCTGGGACCACCGGCAATGTTCCCCGGCATTCACCCTGGGGCTATACCCCCTTATTTTCAGCCAGCAGGGGATCAACCTCGGCCCCAGGCGCCTGCTCTCTTCGCCATGCCACCGTTGCCCTTCATGGCTGGCCTGCCGCCTGGCCCTTATGGCCCCATGCCGTTCCCGATACCTCTGTAAGTGGGATCTTCGGTGAGGATCACATACCTACCTGCCTTGTCTAGTCTGGACACTGCCTCCCCTCCTCTCTCTCTCTCTCTCTCTCTCTCTCTCTCTCTCTCTCTCTCTCTCTCTCTCTCTCTCTCTCTCTTTTTTTTTTTTTTTCTCTCTCTCTCTCTCTCTCTCTGTGTGACACAGATTGTCTGGCATTTTGACTACTGTGTGGTTTGTCTGGTGCCTGTTTATCTCATGTTTTGTGTGCTTTCATTTGTACGAGGAATGAGAAAGAGAAAAGAGAGGCTGAAATGGTAAGAGGGAGCCTGCAATGGTAAAGGGAGGCTGAAATGGATGGCAGACAACAGGCTGCAGTCATAAATAAAAGGAGGAACACATGTAAAGAAGAGAAGAGAGTGGATCTGCGAGAACAGTGAGGAGCAAGGTATGGAAGACGAGAAGGACGGAAAAGGTGATAGATTGCAGAACAATCCAAGAGTATCTCGAAGGCACACCAAAGAAATCACGTCCCCGGATGGAGGAAGGAGAATGAAACAGAAAGTGTCTTCATTTGTGGTTGCCAGTCCTTTAGGAAAGTTCTCAATCTGTTGTCTCCTGATTACCGTGGAAAAAGACTGTTTAGTAGTGTTTACCCTTGTTGGTTATGTTTCTGTTACCTAGACAAAACTGGGTGTGCCTGGCTCTTGCACTGCGTTCTACGTCAGGAAGGCACACTGCATGTGGGTGTTATGAGGATGGCCATCCTAACAGCCCCTTTGTGTTTCTCTTTTCTCTTTTTCTGTCTCTTCCTCTTTAAGTGAAGTCTGAGTTCGGATCTATTTGTGATTCCATTGTGATTAGGTTATGCTCTGCACAGTCAGCTGTTTAGAGGAGACCATATTCTCTGTTTTCTGAATGCCGTGCAGTGAACCTTGGTTCGTAATTAACAACAGGGTCTCTCAGGTTCTTGGTAGACCAGAGAATGTAACAAACAATATAAAGGGTGCCTCGGCGCTAATGATGCCTTCCATATAGTGATAGAAGGAATCTTGTACGTTAGCCTTGGCGCTAATGGATTTAGGTTCTACTATATAGCTAGACACGAGGCTTGAATTAGCAGAACCGCAATTCGCTGTGTTGCCAAATGGTGCACATATGTAGCCAGTGATAAACAGATCATGGATACAATACTGTTAGGAGGGCACTATGTGACAGGCAGACCTTCCCCCCTTCCCATCCTGCCAAAAAATGATCATTTACTCTGGCAATTCACGGATCTGCTATAACCAGATTATGTGACGTTGCGTGGCTGGTGCCAGGTGCATGCTTGCCAGGTAGGAGATGGAGGAAGAGAAGATAGGTTTCGGCATGTCCACCAGATTATTGACAGATTACTGACTGCAGTTCTTCCTTGTCTTCTTCTAGATGCACCTGCGGTGTGTAGATGTATGTTAAGGCACATATCAGGCATTGGCATTGATGACTGTTAGGTGCTCTCTGTAGAGCATTGCATGGTATATTTCATGTTGCCCAAGGAATTGATCAATTGTCAGGTGTCTTCATTGTTGCTCTTTCATGTCCAAAGTATGGGCGTGCATGATTCCTTTTCGTCTGTTGGAATGATTGCGCGCACACGCGCGCGCGCGCGTGTGTGTGTGTGTGTGTGTGTGTGTGTGTGTGTGTGTGTGCTCATTCCAAGTAGTACAGTTGAGAAGTCCTGGCTGTTTGTGTCCTTTTTGCTATTTTTTCTTCGCGTGCGTGCATGTGTGTATGCGCGCGCGCACGCACGTGTGTGTGTGTGTGTGTGTGTTGTGTGTGTGTGTGTGTGTGCGTGTGCGTGCTCATTCAAGTAGTACAGTTGAGAAGTCCTGGCTGTTTGTGTTCTTTTCGCTATTTTTTCTTCGTGTGCGTGCATGTGTGTGCACGGCTGTGTGTGTACGCACTTCCAAACGAGTGAAAGGGTATTACCAGGTTTCTGAGCATTTGAGTAGGAGGTTTCCGTGCAGCTGTTTGGCAAAACGGGCTGCAAGTGTGACTGCACATCACTGTGATGGTGGTTTCAGAAGGAAATTCTGCTTGTTTGTATGGTGGAGAATTGGAATGTGGGTTGTTTGGATTTCAAGTCCAAGGCCGAGGAGCTGCTTGTGACAGTGTTTTGTTTCGTAATCTTTGCAGGGGTGCTCCTGTGCTCTATGGGCCTGACGGACAGGGCCAGCCCCAAGCAGGAACCCCTCCACCAGGAACAACTGCAGCTGGAAGGCCTTTTGGTGCGCAGGGTCCAGGTGCGCCGCCTGTACCAGGTCAGGGGATAATCGGCAATGGTATAGCTTTTCCTGTTGGGATGCGGCAGATGATGCAACCACCAGCAGGAGGTGGAGGCGCGAACGCGGTCATGGGTCCAGGTGTGCCGCCTCAGATGCAGGGGGACATAAATCGGCCGGGGCATCAGCAGCCGAGGCTGTTGCTCAGACTGCGGATTGATCTGATGCTGCTCTTCAAGCTTATCCTTATGGTTTGCGTCTTCAACCAGGATGGGTCGTCTGATCGACTACTTGTGCTCTCCCTGCTTGCTGCTATTGTTTATTTGTGAGTGCTTCTGTGCTTGATGTCATTAACCCCAGCAAATACATTATACATCTGTCGATCTCACAGCCATTGTTCATTCAGCAGCACTTTAAAACAACCTGGATCTTGATACTTTGAACTCCAGGGAATTTTATTTGATTGAACGAGTATGCTGCACGGCGGCCGCATTACCATTTCATTTCCTTGCTATCTCATCATTCTGTGAGTTTTGTCTGCATGGACTGAAGCATGCAGAACAAGTGTTAGACTGTCTTCTCCGGAACACAACGCACCCTCATCGTCACTGTATCGGACCGAAAAGATGCCTTGTAAACATTCACAATCAGGGTGCGTTGTGTTCGGGGGAAGACAGTACGTACTGAGAAAGTAATGTGGCCACAAGAAACCAAAATCATCTGTTGGCGAACTAGTTGTGATGCAAGCTTTATTTATACGTGCCATTTTCCACAGTGATGTGTTGAATTGTTGGCAGGCCGACCTTTCCAGTGCTGGGTTAGGCAAAGCCATGCAACAGGTGCTTTGTGTTTTTCCCCCCTTTTCAACCTTCTGTCAGCATGTCTTGATTTCTGATGTTTGCAGTTGAAATCATCTTTTGTCCAGGTCTGGGGTCAGTTTCGGCCTGGAAGCCGACATTGATGGAGTCTCCTGCCTTTAAAAGTTGAAGCTTTCACTCCAGCAATCTGTAATAACACATCATCTCGCAGTTTTTTGAACTGTCGCATTGTTATCCCACTGGTTTTGTCCCGCTTTGCAAGACATCATGCGCGTCATTCCTCACTTGGCCATAGTGGGGGCAATTTAATTGAGGGATTTGCTTTGAATGACACCATGCACCCGTTATTATTTATAGTATCGTCTCTGCGGCGACATGCGTTCGGACTTTTCTCGCGAGGATCTTAGTTTCACACAAGTGAGGATTCATTGCATGAATATAGCCTCACGCGCTAGTTACTTCTGTCCAACGATAATACTGTGGACGTTGTTGCATGTACAGTGGTCCTGGAATGCAATGTGTGGAGTTTGTTTTGGTTGGAAAAGCATTTGACGGAGCTGCATTTGTCTTGCTGTGATGTGCAGGTACCAAACTGGGGCGCTATCGCCACTGATGTCTTGGCTATTTAGAAGCACACAACGTGCCATGCGGCCACAAATGCAGCACGCACCCCCTGCACCTGCCCATGGTGGATTACCTGGTAGGTTTTGAATTTGCCACCTGTCACAGAGTATCTAATTCACTTCGCTTTCATCAGGTTATATCTTGAGAAAGAACCGAAAGCTCAGATCAAGTTTGTCGGTCATGTCCTCGGGGAAATCTCATTTGAACCTCTATTGCACAAGGTATTTGTGTGCACACCGCCAAACAGGTGATGTGGTGGTATCTATATGTTCATGCGCATGCATGGACTTGTGCGTGTGCTTGGGTGTGTGTGTGTGTGCATGCATACGTGCTTTGGCTTGTGCGTGTGCGTGCACATGCATAGATGGGTGTGTCTGCTTGTGCGTGTGCATGCATACGTGCTTTTGTGTGTGTTGCCTCTGAATTGTATCTGTGTTTTGGTGGCATCTCTGCAGTTTGTTTACCTCTAAGCTGTCTGGACTCATGTTCAACTAGGTGCACCTCCTACATGAGCAACGTAAAGTGTACGGATTACATACCTAATTTAAACCACCAGTACATTTCACAGCTGTTTTGTTCCGGCCCAGCAGTTAACACACCGCATCCTTCAGCGCTTGGCCTACCGAATGTAAAAGGCTGACGATTTCACGCTTGTGCTGAATTTGGCGAAACTTGGCACGCGGCAAAAGTCCGTGTCCAGAGGAGACTCAGACGTATTGGTCGTGTAAGACAGCTACTGGACAGTCCCTTAGCAACTGATCACAGTACGTCATGCGGTTCCTCTACACCCTAGCTATTTCATGTCTGCTTGTTTGTGTTCTGCTAATAGGTTCAAAGATAAAAGGCTTTCTGGGGCTGCGCACTAGTTTCCTCCTCCATCCAATCCCTGAGCATTGAAAGTTGAAGACTCTTTGCATACACAATAAACTACACAGTGAGAGCATATCATCGACTTCATTGTTGTGAATGAATGAGAAGAAATGCGTGACACTTAAGAAACAGTTGCCTGTGGGGCAATAAGTAGGTAGAAAGCCATTAGACCCCAGTGAGGAAACAGATTTCTATGCTGCCCGCATAAAATAGAAGAAGATAAAGGAAGAAACCATTGAGACTCCTGAAGAGAAGCCTGTTCAAGATGCGATACCAATTCCTTGGTAGCAAGCTGTTCGGCACCAGTGTAGAGAGGGTTTCTCTATTGCCTGCATAAAACAGAGTAAAGCACAGGGAGAAACCATTGAGATTCCTGAAGAAAAGCCTCGTCACAATGTGATCCCAAATCCTTGCGGTATTGACGGTCAAGGCCATTCATATATTTTCTGAGTGTTTGATTTTGGCTGTCATTGGACCTCACCCACGCAACCAAGTTTGCTGTTCAGCACAGAGAGAGAGAGAGAGAGAGAGAGAGAGAGAGAGAGAGAGATGTTATGATTCTGGTTGTCTGTTGTCTGAAGACCAACACTCACTCACATAGACTCCCAGGTATGCCCATACATACACAGAAGGAAGGGGAGAGGATAGGAGTATCACACCGCACAGGGAACGAGAAACACAGCGGAAGACTTGACCATGCGATATGACAGGGTACACTGAAAGTGCAATTCACTCCACTCAATCCTCACAACCAGTCATAAAGGAAAGCCGAGTAGATCACATCCAAGAACCAATGAAACGATGATAGTCTGAACCCAGTATAAACACTGTTTATTAAACTCTAGTCTCGAATTGTCAGAATAACTTCAGAACTATGATGCGCTGCTCAGAAATGAGCAGCACTTCACTCCCCAACCCTGATGAACCGCTATTACCACCCCTGAGCACCTGAAACATCAAGTGCCACCCATATACAGCCTCATATACAGCCTCCAGAGGGAAGCGCCACCCTGAAACAGGCCTCTGAGGCCAAGCGCCACTCAGAGGATGAAGAAGAAGACCAGCACCACAGTATCTGATGATGACGAAGTGTCGGAATACTTCCCAGGTGGAAGTCTGCAGCAGCGCCACCACTCCTGACAAAATGACCTCTGAGGAAGAAGCTGCAGCTATGGCTGCAGTACCACAACCCTGTAACCCTACTCTGGAGGAGGGTCCAGCAGGGTACCACTTCTCTCTCCTCCAGCAGACCTCGAATAGCCCAGACCTCTGTACAGCCCTGTGTTATGAACTTGGTTGTCTGACGAATTTCTCGCCACTCGCTCACACGTAGGATCTGACACACGCCCATACATGCACCAGACAAGGGGGAGAGGAGACAGAGTCCAAACTGCACACAGACAGATATAAGCAGCGGAATTCAACCATGCACAGATGGGGAGAAGACACACAGTGTTTCTCACTCTCTGACAAACTCCCAACAACCAATCACAAGAAAGAACCTGTGAGGATAACAATTGGAATACACACTGATGATGAGCCAATTAACCAGAAATCGTTACAGAGTTTGTTCCAGTGTCTCGCCACTCTCAGAACCTCGCACTCCACTCTCTACCCTACACCCAGTTAGTAGCGCCACATCAGAATGGCCTCCCAGAGGCCAGCGCCAACCACCCAGATGAAGAACAGATCCTGCGATGATGTCTTCAGTGCCGCTGAACAACTCTGACGAAGAACCGGCAGCTATGGCTGCCGCCACCTGCATAGACTCAGTGAGGAGTCTCCACACAGCCCAGCCAATCGCAGAAACCCACAGGGGTTGATGCGCAGGGGTTGCCCCAGCTATGGCAAGCCCTCAACAGGCTGGCTATGGCTGCTGTCCGTGGTGAGGGTCTCAGGGTACCGCCTGCAGACAATCGCCGCTGCAAACCTCCTTGGCTCCGAACGCTGTATCGCCAAAATGAACTGCCAAAAAGTCCTCAACAGTCCTACGCTAACCTACTTGTAGATTCTACACTACTCTAGCCTAGGACCTATCGGTACCGGTTCAGTTAGGGCCTACTCGGCCACTACGAAACCGGTCCTACTGTTGCACTTAGGGCTCAGGGCCACTTAGGGCCGGTAACCACTCAGCCCTACTGCTGTTAATTCAGGATATTTTTAGAACGGCGGACGGCCCTCAGTGCAAATAACAAAAACACAGCAAAGCACACAGCAAACTGTACAGCCTCGCAGTCAGTCTCGGCAGTCGAAATCAGCAAGTCATTGCACCCGCGTGCTGACCGAGTACAGCGCATGTCCCAGCTATGGCCGGTGCTCCGAAGGTCTGGCTATGTCTGTCTCCCACAATTCTGAACCAAAGTGTTGGAAGACTTCCCGGGTGCAGCTATGGTTGCAGCCCCCCAACCTTGTAACCCTACTCCGGAGGAGGGTCCAGCAGGCTACCACTTCTCTCACCTGCAGCAGACCTCGAATAGCCCAGACCTCTGTACAGCCCCGCGTGCTGACAGAGTACAACGCAGGTCCCAGCTATGGCCGGTGCTCTGAAGGTCTGGCTATGTCTGTCTCCCACAGCGCTGAGCCGTCAACACTTCCCGTTCATGCGTTGTACAGCCCCGATGTACATAGTACCAACTGCCAAAAGCCCTGAACCGATGTGCTCATCCTATCTATAGTCTACTCTAACCTAGACTCGACCTAGACTGGACTGACTGACTGGCCGGGCCTGCATTTCGCAGGTAGGATAGCTGTAGGGAATTCTAGTTAGTACGGGTCTATATTTTCCCAAATTTGCAGATATGTCCCTAACGAATTTCCTTACAGGAGGGTCTCTCGGTTAGGCCTCAGCCAAACAAAATTACGAATCTATCCTACACATGGTACAGCCTCGACAAGAGAGAGGCTACAGGCACCCAGAAACCAGCAAGTCCTTGCACAGAGAGAGAGAGAGAGAGAGAGAGAGAGAGAGAGAGAGAGAGAGAGAGAGGTTCTTGTGTAGTGCGCAAAGGATAATTGTTAGAGGCTTCATAATCACTATTTCTCTGCCTCTCCCTCCTCTTGTAGACACTGACACGTGCACGTGGACATATGAAAACACGTTATTTGTTGTGACTAACACATGCACGTGGACATACGAAAACACGTTATTTGTTGTGACTTTTGTGACGTGCCAAGTGCTTTAGGCAAAAGGGGCTTGAGTGTGTGTGTGTGTGTGTGTGTGTGTGTGTGTGTGTGTGTGTGAGAGAGAGAGAGAGAGAGGCAGGGAGGCAGGCAGAGGCTTTTGTGTTGTGGATGCCCATCGAGTACACAACTTCCAAGTAGAGAATTGTGTACAGCACTGTGGAAGGCTTCACAGTCACTTTCTCGGCCTCTCTCCCTCACCTTCTTGTGCACTCGAGTCTCCGACACATGCACACCGACATTCGAGGGGGACACAATTTTCATGGATGTGCGATAGTGTTTTAGGCAGTAAAGAGTCTGCTGTGGCATGGGGGTTCCAGGTGTGTGTTGCAGGTGTGTTTTATATTTGGTTGTTGTGTGACATTTGGACGGGTGCAGAGAGCATGTACTCTCTAGGTGGAACTTCCATGGGTTGCGCCTTGTTGAGCAGGTGGTAAAGGGGCCTGAGGTGCTTTCAGCCAAAGTGGTGAACCCGGTGATGCAAGGATGTCCAACACTTTGCCTGAAAGCACCTCAGCCCCTTTTAACACCCCTGCTGAAGTACATGCTCTCTGCACACGCCCACAGATGTCGTCACAACAACAAAAAGTGAGACGGCGCACCGTAAAAATAGGGATACATGCTCTCTGCACACGCCCACAGATGTCGTCACAACAATAAAAAGTGAAACACACCTGGAACCCCCATCCCACAGCAGAAGCTTTGCTTCCTAAAACACTCTTGAAAATAACGTCCCCCTCACGCGCCCACGTGCATGTCTCAGAGTGCACAAGAAGGTAGTCTTAGTCTTCAATTGTTCAAGTGTGCCTCAAGTGGACACTTCCTGCTCAACCATGCAGCGATGAGGAACCTGGTAAAACACACACCTGCCACAAAACTGACTTTTCGTTTGGTGATTTGTGTGACAATGCGCACGTGCACACCTGCCCTCAAACTGGAGCATGTTTCTCATGTGGTCCTGTAAAAAGATTGGGGTGAGTTGTTGTGTCCAAACTTGGAAAGATGTCAGGGAGGTGCAGACTATTGAGGTTCATTGTCGTGATTGGCCGTTGAAAGTCGCCAGTCGGTAATGAAACTCTTTCACAGTCGTGTCTTTTTTGGGAGTTGTCTAAGCAAACGTTCTTGCCGGTGTTTCAGTTGTGTTTGGTTTAGAAAGCGAAACGCAGAATAGAGTGGAAAGTTGATGGTCAGAATTCATTGTTGGGCTTGTGCAATACAGGGGCCGGAGCCGAAGATGCAGCTGGAATTGGAGGTGCTGTAGGGGATGGTGGGAATGCGCGCAGGGGGGCGCAGGAGGAGCCTGCGGCAGAGAGAGAAGCCCGGGGAGGGGATGATGACGAAGCGGCAGGTCCAGGTCCAGAACAGCAGCCAGGGTTCCCTCAAGCCCAGCATCTTCCTGGAATGGATAGATGGCGGATTTTGAATGAATTAAGAATGTTTTTGCTGGGTTTTGTGACGTCTTTGCTGCCAATCTTTACAGGCCCTGAGAATCCCCCTGGAGCACCCATCCAGCCAGGAGGTCTACAGAGGGGGGGGGATGCTGCTCCTGCAAGAGACAACAATAGGCCACATCAGGAGTGAGCAGTCACATCAGGAGTGAGCAGTCTTATGTGGCATCCAGCAGGAGGCAAGCTATTATGCATATGGTGGAAGACTTTAAGACTCCCCTTGGGACTGGGCATTTACGCGTACTGTGATACTGCCTGGCTTTTTCAAGCAAAGTGATGGAAAGATTGGGCTGTTCTCGGCGGAAGGGTTCTTGCAGTGGCAATCCCAACCAGGAGAGCACAAGGTTCTATTACCATCTCTGATAGAGTAGTAGACTCTGGCTGTAGAAGCCATTTCCTCGGAGGGCAGAAGTGACGGCATAGGCGTACATTCCCGTACAGCACGCGATATGCTCGTGGGAGACAACTATGGGAAACTGAGTTGAGAATGTGGTTGCCTTAGCTGGAGAGAAGCAGCCCCTCCAAGGCACCTTGAAATTTGAATTTATTTTCCTTCGTTGTTTTGGAACTTTTTCAGAGTCTACTGTTCTGTGTCCGGAGCTTCTGAGAGTAAGTACCCATTTTGCCATTGCCAAAGTTGACATTCGGATAATGCTTTTCGGGAAGGATTGGATGGAGAGCGACTGGCCCCTGAATTTTTTTATCACAAGATAGATTTGGGAGGTTGTTTGCCATTTTGCATATTGCAGAACGACTTACTGCTTGTGCGATCCTCAGCGGCGTAATGTTTCAGTACAAAAGGAGCGTTGAAGTTGGTCTTGTTTCCGGGAGTTGTCTGTTAACCGTGTCCAATTGCGTATCCGCTTGTTGTCCTGAAAGCACCATTCGTTGTGTGATTAATCTTTAGTCTACCTGATGATGGTTTCATGAATCAAATGAATGGCCTCTAGTGGATGGAGTGGTCTTAGAGTCCCAGTGGGGAGCAGCGTCGAGTATGTGTGGGCATGCGAAACTGCTGCCACAATCCGGAAAGGTTTGTGGGCATGCTAGACCAGTGCTGCAATTCCACAGGATTTATTGGCATGCGAACTGTTTCAATCGATTTTTTGCATAGAAAAAATATTGCAGCCACAATGATGGAAAGGTTGTATGAATGTGTTTGTAACTTTGAAACATGTGTGGGATTCAGTGAGAACTTGGTGGATAGAAAGCGTGTACTGATCGACTATGTTAGGTAAGGGGGTTGAATGTGGTCCTATGCTTTCCAACAAGCCTGGATATTGTGGGAGCGGGCCATCAGTGTCATTCCAGTATGGGATCTCTATGGAACCAGCGCCTTCCGTAACGAATGGATATAGGAATTGGATGGAAGGTATTAGGCTTAGACAATATGCTTGTGGCATATGACTGCCAACTCGCTCTCTCGACAGAAATCCAACGCACTCCGAAATGCAATTTGCGGAGCAGATCCTTTGGAAAGCAAATCGCAATATTTGTCACGATGGGTGTAATCCATCCGTATGCCTGAGTGATGAGTTTGGTTTGGGGCAGGGACAACAGCAACTTGATGGAGGCGTCTTTCTGGATCCCCCCTTTGCGTGCAGGGAACTCAATCATGCATTCCCAGAGTCTGGCTTGCTTATGGCATGTGACAACATTCAGTTAGTGTTTGTTTTTTCAATCGATTGAACCATTCAGTACAGTCTCGCTGAAAAAGGGGCAGGAAAGAGAGAGAGCAGGTACAGCGTGATAAGTGTGGTCCAGCAGAATGTGTTTGGACAAATGGTCGTTTGAAAAGCTACTGATGTGGCATACACATCTTCTGCCGGTCTGATGACAACGTGTAGAAACGGAGCGAATGTAGACAGACCAGGAGAGTGCATTGGTGACATGAGGTGCTCGTACAGGTTTGATGGCTTTGTGTATTTACATCTGTACGAGCACCTCATGTCACACCTGTACTAATCTCTCTCTCTCTCTCTCTCTCTCTCTCTCTCTCTCTCTCTCTCTCTCTCTCTCTGCACTTGCAGGTTTTGTTACTATTGTCTCCTGCAAGAGCTTTGGATGCGGCTTTACTTACATCTCCTCCTGCAAGTGCTTGTGCTTTTTTATGTGCTTGCAGCCTGGCAGATAGTTGGTGATGGTTGTAAACTAGACCCCATAGTTGGTGATGGTTAATGTTCTGCCGCACGGTCCGGAGGAGTGATTGAATCAAGGTCACACCCAGCAGCACGGGTTTCACAGGGCCGCTGTCAGAGTTCAAAGCAACCCACTTACAGCTTATCCCTTGCTTCGTCCGGTTGAGATCCAGTTTTAGATTGTCAATCTGCATCACACATGCATTCCCCGAATCAGCGGAGGTTATCTGAAACTGAGATTAAGGTTGAGCTAAAATTAATTTATTGAATTTGATTCCCTTATTCCTCACTTGAATGGGAGGAAGATTTTAAAACGATGGGTCACCAGAGAGGAAGAGTGGAACTGTTCTGAGAGGGAGCATTATAAAAGTGTTATGGTCTCATGGGGTTTGCTGTGGGGAATGCGTGTGACTGATTTGCCATGTTAAACAAGGAGTTGCTGGCCCAGTCTTTGATAAAACGCCTGCCGTTAACGCCGGGCCATGGAAAGACGCGGAGGGTGGCAGTCACAAATAGGCTGGTGGCACCCCGGCAAATTGCATGCAGTGGGAAGTTGAGGTTTCTTAGGGCAAGGCGAAAGTCGAAGTTGGGAAAACGCAGCTCGGGACAACTGGTGGTTTGTTCCCACTGTTATGACCCTGTCTCTTATACACATCTAGATGTGTATAAGAGACAGGGTTAAGGTGGATTATCACTTACACTGTAATCAGTGAGGGGATTCTACAGACTGTTGAGGGTTCAGCCTCCTGATGAGTCGGTGAAACTCCGACGAAACAGTTTGTCACAGCCCCTCGTTTGTTGTCCTCTTCTCCCTCTCTGTCTACAGTCTGTCTCTTATACACATCTAGATGTGTATAAGAGACAGTATCCAGGCAGAGCCAAAGGCTCCGCCTCATTTGCTGGGCGCACAAGTTTGGAGCACGGCATTTGGAGCAGCGGCTGGGAGCAGCGCTGGAGAGCTGCGCTAGCAAGCAGCAAGCCGCGCTTGGCTAGGGAAGGAGAAGGACAGCGGAGGAGGAAGAAGAAGAAGGAGGAAGAAGAAGAAGAAGGAGGAAGAAGAAGGGGGGAGAGAGAAGGAGCCGAGGTACTTACCGGCTATGGTGGCAGCCATCTCCTACACCTTGGAGCAGCAGTAAGAAGGCCCTCCGAGGGAGGGAGCTACTCCAAGCATCTCCGAAGCATCTTGGGGCATGTCGGCACTTAGGGGGACAGCCATAACTCATTTGGGAAGTCCTTTGGGCATCGTGGTTGTACTCTGCAGTCCGCCATAGCCTCGGCCTAGGAAGGAGAGGCGGCTATGGCTATGGTGGACCTCATAGTTGTCCAGCTGTAGAAGAGAGACTTGGGCAGTGATACTGGACCTTCATTCCAACATTGTTGTATTATTTATTGTTTGAATTTATAAAGAGGAGGGGGAGATAAGATGCAAGGGAGTTGAGCGAAGAAGAAGAGCTTTGACATTGGTTCTTGCTGGTGTACATTGTCTTTTCCAATCTTTTCTACTTCTTCTTCTTCTTCTTATCCCTGTCTCTTATACACATCTAGATGTGTATATGATAGTGGTCCAGCTGTAGAAGAGAGACTTGGGCAGTGATACTGGACCTTCATTCCAACATTGTTGTATTATTTATTGTTTGAATTTATAAAGAGGAGGGGGAGATAAGATGCAAGGGAGTTGAGCGAAGAAGAAGAGCTTTGACATTGGTTCTTGCTGGTGTACATTGTCTTTTCCAATCTTTTCTACTTCTTCTTCTTCTTCTTATCCTCTCCATCCTCTCAAGTTCATTCATTTCCTTTTGCAGTTGGTGAATATTGTGCTGATTGGTGAATTTGTACTTCGCAATTGTTCCGGGTCATAACACCACGGCAAAAAGGCAGGACCATTTGTCTTTGAACTGTAGACGAGCTATAAACATCACCGATCAGGATGCTTAGCAGCAGCACAAACTTTTCACAGTTACTTGAATCATTTGATGTCACTTCCCCTCATGTCGAGTAGTTGACAGTCTTGTCCGGGAGGTCGATGTCCTATAGGGAAGGCCGTGTTTCGGAAAGCAGTCAGGAAACTGACGGAGGAGGAGTGAATTTGGTGATTCCACCACAATCCCCTCTTCTAGATGGTCGGCAACAATGCGGTCTTTTGGTTTAGGGTCTCGTTCAGCGGTAGGCAATGTTTCTGGAAGCCATTTGACAAACAATGGCCGCAAAGTTACTTCGTCGGGGGGGGGTGTTATGGTAGCTATGTTTCTGGAATTTGTTGACCAAACATCGCCCACAAAGCCACTTCATGGAACCTGTTGGTATTCCGGACACTGGAGCTCCTAACTTATATCAATTTCAGGGCCTACCGGGGCGTAGGACAGGATGCAACCGTATTTGCACCAAGGAACTCCTCTTTCCAAGCACAATCACATCTACCCTACATCTATGATTTGTTCGTTCATGCCTCTCATGGAAAAAGGAGAGGCATGGATGCTACTGCTGCATGTCTTGGTCTTTGTCGAGGGTAGTGTCAATCCAACGTTACTCGACATATCGAATGTATATGGAGACTTTGGAGCTATATGAATCCAGCCAGGATATCTGGCACCCAATAAGGATCTGGAAACTCCTTATGTCACCTCAAATATGTCGAGTTGCACTGAAGGATTAAGTACAGCTTAAATCTTAGACGCGTAACAATTGTGCACAATTTGAAAGTGGCTCTGGGCCCTAGACGGCCGTGCGATGCTGTTTCAGAGAAGCAGTATTAAAACTCCTTGCGAATCTACATTGGCTCCGCTTTCGAGTACTGTTTCGTTTTGGTGTGTTTTCGACCCTCCCCACAACCACTATTTCCCCACCTGGCCCCGCTAATCATGTCGGGATTCCCCCCCCCACAAAATGTTCCCCGCGTGCCCCACTCCCCCCTCTGCATCCATGCACCCCACTCTCCCCTTCCCTTCCACGGGTTCCATCCACATGCCTCACTCTCCCCTTCCCATTCGCATGCCCCACACTCCCCTTCCCATCCTCGCGCTCCCACTCCCCAACCCCGCTTCCGCTTCCCCCCCCTTGTATGATACCTCAATCCTTTCTTTTTTTTTAACTAGTGTAAAATTAATTAAATCCGTTTCAACTTTAAATTTTAATTAAATTTGTTTAAATTAATTAAATTTGTTACTCCATTTAAATTGATTATAATATTTTTGAAACCTAGGCTACCAGAGTGGCCCAAGGTCACTTTCCCGGCCGGACTGGTGAGTGATAGTCTACTTTGATTTGGTTAAGGTAGATTATCATTTACAGTGTAATCAGTGAGGGGATTCTGCAGACTGTTGAGGGTTCAGCCTCCTGATGAGTCGGTGAAACTCCGACGAAACAGTTTGTCACAGCCCCTCATTTGTTGTCCTCTTCTCCCTCTCTGCCTACGGTTTACCGGGCAGTTCTATTTGACGATATATATATAAACATTATTAATATATATATATATATCGTCGCTGTGACAGACCTTTCTTTGTTTCGTGGGTGTTTTGCTGGCTTGTGATGGGGTGTGAACCGACAGTCTGTAGAGTTTTCCATCTGGTGTGGGTGAGTGATAGTCTACTTTGATTTTGGTTAAGGTGGATTATCACTTACA